AAAAGAAAATTGAAAGAATTACTAAGAGGAAACCAGAACAGTAAATAAATGTTTAAAAAAATTACTAACTTTGCCTGAAAGAAGTACAAGGAAAATTAAAAACACAATAAGCTACTATTTCAAGTGTATCAAAAAGCACAAGTTAGGCAAAACCAACTGTGGAACAAGCAATTTCCATGAGTTCCTAAATGGAAAAATCATGCTGAGGAGGAATTTAAAATATCTTTGAAGGTGAAAGTGTAAATTATTCATGATTCAATAAATCCACCTCTAGTGGGATACTGTAGAAGAAGTCTTATGCATGTGCACGTGGGTTCATTACAGAACTAAACTTAATATCAAGAATAATGGAAGTAATCTATACTTCATTATGGTAAATTGAATGAAGACATTGAAGAATTTTTAGAAATGGAATATTGCATACAGTTAAAATGAATTATATAATATCAAGTGACTAAAACATGTTGGAAAATGATATATAAATATACTTGAAAATGATATTTTTTTCATGAATACATATTTAATGGAAAAATTATAAAATATACACAGGAAAGTACTCTGGAGAAAGGGACAGGAATAGAAAAGTAAAATAGAACACGAGGCTTAAACTATGTCTGTCTAGTTGTTGGTGGTGGGGCAGGGTGTGTGTGTGTGATGAGACACACATGTGGTAACACTCAAACATTTGTTAATTATTATAAATGTTTATGAATTAATTATTAATTATTATTTTGTAATTAATTATTACAAAATTATTATGAATCATAGGTGCTTTGGGATTCTTCTCCCTGTTATTGTCTCTAATTTCTGCATATTCAATTTTTAAAATTACCTTTCAAGAGAACATCTGTGTTTCAGGAAGAATTAAGTGGCTTTTCATTCTTAGTTATGAAGTGTAGGGGAGATTGGCATTCTTTGTCCTTGAATAAGTATATATGTTGATCTTTTATATCCTCATAAAGCTGGGCCAGTAGGATACAGAGATGATCTGTAGGGAACATGTAGTCAAACTTATTTTGGGATCAAGAAACTTCCTAAGAAGAAAGAACATAAAAATATACTTTTTTCAATTCTCATATGGTGTATGTTCTTCCTAAAATAATTTTCAATGGTTAAAAAACAAGTGAAAATGAAAAATAGAAAGAAAAAGAAAAGTCACTATATTCCTCAATAGGAATTTACAGTGTGGGGATTAGGAGTCCAGACTGGTGTCTCTGCCCAGCATCAGAGCCTGAGAAGTGTTGGAGTGGAGCTATCTGACTTAGTCAGTGGCTGAAACTCAAAGCTTCTTTACAGGGAAGCATCTTTGTATGTTGTCATACCTTTGGAAAACTAGCTGGTTTATGAAGGTAAAAATGACACAGGTTCAGAAAAACAAACAAAAACCAAGAAGCACAAATATGAGGCACTTCTGCAACCAGTATGGTTGATTGAGATTGATATAACCATTTTCTTACACCAAAATGATACTCATTCTGTTTAAAGTTACACTGCTCTTCAGTTTACAACAGAATTCTGTTAATGTGAAACTATTTTAAATTCTTCACTGCCATTATTAGCCCATTTTAAAGAGGGGTGTGCTGTTTCTTAATATAAGATGTGGATATATGATCACATATTCTAAGAAAAATAGGAATCTTATATTCCTTTTGTTTCTCCTTTTACTTTGAGTATTAATATAGGTTTTAAAATCATCCTGGAAATAGATAATATTAACCATATTTTTAAAGTAATGAAACAAAAGCTTAAAGAAGGTAAAAATCTGCCTGTAGCTTTGCAGCACAGTGTTTATAGGCAGGGCATGTTAGTTGAATAAACAAACAGATATTTATGAGTCAAAGTTGTGGTTTAAAGCAAGGTCTGATTATATGATCCTAGGAAGGTTTGACTGAGAATGGTACAGGCTCAGGTTGTATATACTTGTATAAGTCAAAGTTGGGTAGATAATTAAAGAGAAAAGAAAATATATAAGAATGCCTAACATTTTATTGTGTGTTTTAAGCTTAGCTAACTTGACTGTATTGTTCAGATAAGTGTGAAACTGATATGAAATAGACTAAATAGAAGACTTACATCTAAAACTTTGAAATTACTTGACAAGTTGACATGGGACATCTAATGAGAGGGATGGTTCAGGTAGAAGTTTGGTTCCAGAAAATTAGTACAATGAGATCTTCACTAATTCCCGTATCCATCAAGGCATCTTAGAGAATCAAATTTCAGGTACTAAGAAGTTTTTAGTGTCTATAACATTCCCTGTACTCTGTATGTTATGTGCTTTACACCTGGTACTGTGAGGGCAGTGTCTCATCATACAGAATGAGATCCCTACACTCACTGATTCTCTATAAAAAAGAGAAAACTGCCCACATTGGATTTATCAGCAGAAAAGTCCCATCTGCCTTTCTTGACCTCCATTTTGTCAGTGTCCTGACTGTCCTTCCCTCGTACTTCCTCCTCTGCTATCACCACCACCCCTTCAAAAATAAGTAAATGAACAAAATAGAAGTCACCAAAGGGGCAAGATATGTGACACACACATTCCCTTTGAAATTGTCAAATTGTTCCCTTAGTTGGGTGGCAGCTGCCTCCTAAGTACTTTTGGGTTCCTCGCTTTATCATCATCCTTCTCTGGGGAGCAAAGTCTCTCTGCAGTTTTAAATGAGAGAGGAAAGCTTATGGTCATGTCCTAGCCTTAACAGATTATTTTGTGAGAATTCCTTTACTTTTATTGTTATATACAAGATCCTATAATCTTAACTATTTTTGCAGAAAAAAACGTTTTTAATGAGTCTTCCAGAACCCTGCAATAAGAAAGATCAGAAATAAGGTTATTATAATGAAAGCAGTGATGAAGACATATTTTCTAGCATTATTTCTACATGTGTACTGCTTAATTGGTGGCAGGCAAGCTAGGTTGTAAACTATGAGAAAAACAACATATTTTCCAACTCTGGCTTCCAGCTCTGCTGCAGGCAGCTGGGGATGTTTCCCAGAAATAGAAGATGGCTGTAACAAACAATAAAATACAGGCAGTGAAAGCCATAACAATCTCTTTTTCCCCTTTTAAACAATTTATTAAATGTATTTTAAAGTGAACTAATCCTGCCTGGCCGGCATGGCTCAGCGATTGAGCGTCGACCTAGGATCCAGGCAATCGGGGTTCGATTCCCGGTCAGGGCACATGCCCGGGTTGTGGGCTCAGTCAATGACTCTCTCATCATTGATGTTTCTATCTCTCTCTCTCCCTCTCCTGTCCTCTCTCTGAAATCAATAAAGGTAAAAAAAAAAAAAAGTGAACTAATCCTGAAAATATTTGATTTACATGGGATAAAGTAAAATTTATTTTAAAAAAAAAAAACATACAATTTTTTCCTTGAAATTATATTTGCTACAATTGTCACTCCTTATAATCAAGTATTCAATTCATGCTTCAGAGAATGGCTTAGATTGGTAACCTTTAAAGCTCCTTCCAACCCAAACATTATTTAATTCTGTATGATTTTCTCTGAAAAGGAGAAACTCCAGGAGATGGGAAGGGGTGGGGTGAGCAGGAAATCTTTAACAATTAATACCCTGTAATTTTCTCTGGGTAAGAGCAATGCCAAAAAATGATGGTTGAACTAATCTCTATCATAAAGGAAGGAGAAGGAAATCATGCTTTCACGCCTCAAGTGAAAAGTTATGACCCAGTTTTTAAATGAATATAATAGAATGTTACCAAGGTAATTGCAGAGTTTTATAATCAAAATTTCTCTCTAAATATCTTAGTTGCATATGCAGTTTTCCTCCCCAAGATAGACTGATTTTAACTCCTTACACATTTTATTGATTTCCAGATAAATAATTATTTGACGGAAGTGCAGCAATTTAAATTTTGACCTGCTTTTAATGTAAAATAAATCATTACAAAAATTGAAGAGTTGGTATTGATTCATTCTCTTTGGAGCTCTGAGGAAAGTTATTTCCTCCCACCCATGCCTTCTTTAATTTCCTAATCTTAAAAAAGACGATAATTGGAATCTTTGTATTTCTCAGAGATGTTTGAAGATTAGAGAGTTAGGAATCCTTTCACATACACACACATACTCCTAAAATGATATTTTTTTTGATCATTTTAAAAAGTGCATGAAAACATCAAAGAAATAAGCTACATGAAAATGTGTGGTCATATTCTTAAATCATTTGCATTTGAGGGAATTTGGAGGAGCAGAGTGTAATCCAAGGTTTCTTGATGGAAAGTTTTTTATAGGCCACTTGTCTTTTAGGAAACAAGCTACACTTTCCTTCACACTGTTGTTGAGAATCAGTGCTGCAATGCTCTATTTCTGGTTTTACCGAAAGTGCCCTCAGAAGACTTAAGAGAAGACTTGTTGGTATAAATGTTTTTATATGAACTATAGCTTTTGTGAGATCCTTAAGTCATCTTGAATACTCTTAAATATTTAAAAATCGACCTCCTAGTCGACAATTAAATGGACTTGGAGATCTTACTTAGTTGGATTTGTTTTCTGGTCCTCTGCTTACTACCTTTGTGGGTTTAGAAAAATTATTTAACCTACCTAGGACTCTTTCACTCTTCTGGTGAAAACTAGATGGCAGAGCCTATGTAAGACCCACGTACAGCACCTTCCTTATCTGCCAGTTTCTCCATTTCAGGTCTCCCCTTCTTCTATAGTCACAGAATTTGTGTCTCTTACCCAGATATGTTGTCTGGAATAAAGACTTTATTTCCCAGTATTTTTTATTGTGGTCATAGCAAAATGGAAGTGTTGTATGTAGCATGTGGGAGTTTCATTAATGCAAATAGCATCATGCTTCTCTCTTTTCCTTCCCTTACCTGCTGACTGGAGTGTGGATATGCTAACTTGGGTGTAGTATAATGGTCTTTGGAATCAGATGATTTTACTTCAAATTCCACTTCTAAGTATACTAGGGTGTGATGTTCAAGGCATTATATCTAATCTCTGTGTATCACTTTCTTTATCTGTAATTTACAGATAGCAAAACTATATTTTTGTGACATCAGAAGACTCAGCGGAAGCAATGCATGTAAGTACAAGTATCTGGTAACAAGTACATTCTCAAAACTTGGGTATAATTATAAGCACAATTATTTTTTATAACCATTATTACAAATGCTTCAGTTTCCATTAAAAAAATTTTTTTTCCTATTGTTCAAAATATTACAGATGTCCCTTTTTCTCCCCATTGACCCCTTCCACCCTGCCCCCCCAGTCCCTCTTCACACCATTGTCCGTGTCCTTGGGTTGTGCATATATGCATATAAATTCTTTGGTTAATTTCCCCCCACATCCCCCCTCCCTCTGAGATTCGTCAGTCTGATCCATGCTTCCATGTCATTGAATCATTTCTGTTCATTAAATCTGAGTTCTTTAGATTCCACATATAAGTGAGATCATGTGATGTTTGTCTTTCTCTGCCTGATTTATTTCGCTTAGCTTAGCATAATATTCTCCAGGTCCATCCATACTGTCCCAAATGGTAAAAGCTCCTTTTTTACAGCCGAGTAGTATTCCATGGTGTGAATGTCCCACAGCTTTTTTACCCACTCATCTACTGATGGGCACTTGGGCTGTTTCCAGATCTTAGCTATTGTAAATTGTGCTGCTCTGAACACAGGGGGGCATATATTGCCATCTAACACAACAACTAAAAGAACTAGAATGAGAACAGCAAGAAAAGCCCCTAGGAAGTAGAAGGAAGGAAATAATAAAGATCAGAGCAGAGATTAATGACATAGAGACTAAAAAAAATACGAAAATTCAATGAAACCAAGAGCTGATTCTTTGAAAAGATAAATAAGATTGATGCACCTTTAGCCAGACTCACTAAGAAACAAAGAGAGAGGACCCAAATAAATAAAATCAGAAATGAAAGAGACAATATAACAACTGACCCAACAGAAATACAAAGGATCGTAAGAAAATACCATGAGCAACTATATGCCAACAAACTGGACAACATGGGTGAAATGGACAGATTCTTACAGTTTCCATTTATGTTTTAATGAATGGCCACTGATTGTATTTTATCTTGGCTGATTTAATACAGTTAATACAGTGGCATAAATTGATTATATTCACTGATTATAATAATTGCACTAAAATATATGGAAGAAAAGTCACCATTTGTTTTATTTATATGGATATCTTAAGAATGCTGTCTTTATTTCATGGCAGTGTGAGACTAAAATACACCTGGGCATAGATACATATACAACAAAAGCTATATGTGTAAGGTTTTGTTTTTTTTGCTTATTTTCAAACATTCCACTTGTACAAATCAATAATTAAAATGAACTTTAGTTAATAATGCTGTAACAGTAGTGGTTCAGTAATATCAAATGTACTGTACCAATGCAGGATGTTATCAGTAAAGGAAATGCGTATGAGGGACAGTATATGGCAACCTCTGTGAAGTCTATTCAAATTTTATAAATTTAAATGTGTTATAAACTCTTAATTCAATTAAAAATATTATTTTAAAAATAATATATATCATGAGCCTTAAGTATATTCATGTATTTCAAAGCAAATAGATTTTTAATGAATGCTTCTTTTTAGAAAATACATATAAATATGAAGAAAAATAATTCAGAGATATTTTTCATGTGATAATTTTAATAGCTGTAAATAGAAGCACATGGTATTTATATATTTAAGTAAATTATTTTCCAAATAGAGAATGTTAGCCAGACAACCAAATCATGTTTAAGGAAGATTTTAGTTGTCTGGGACCATAACTATGATGAAATAAGTGTTACATAAAGAATAATTTTCACTATGATATTAAATATATAATACATTGTGATATATGTGTAGTGGGAAAAAGCACCTTCTATATAAATAGGTAGGGGTAGGAATGAAGAAGAGTGTACTATAAAAGGGTACATAGAAATTTCAGGATGTAACGAGTATGTTGTTTGTATTGATGGTTTCACAGATTTATAGGTATATGAAACCTTATCAACTATACCATTTAAATACATGAAATTTATTGTATGTCAATTATACCCCCAATAAGCCTATAAAAAGTGAAAGTGGGCAGCTGATAAAAGTCAGAACTGAAAATATAATTGTATAAATAATTGATAATTTTATCTCAACTAGTAATTGCTTGATGCTTTGTTCTCCCAAATTTTTACTTGCTATATGTTGTTTCACCTAGATTCAATGCTCAGTCTTTGCCTCCTTGTTTAGATTGACATTTTTATTACAATGACTATACAAAGGATTGATTTCCCCCAACATATTTTTGGAATGATTAACAATAACATTTTCCCATTCAACAAACACAATTATAACTTTCCAAGGGAACTTAAAGTACATTAATATTCATCATCTACCTGAAATCATCACAGTTGTAATTTCTTCCACTAAGACATTTTATTTTCTTCTTAAAATGCAAAGATATTATCTAGGAGAATGAACATATTAAATCATTAGCAACCACTAGAAAAAATGGTTTAATTAGCTCAATAGTCTCCCTCTACTCCTTGAAAGAATTAGGCAGAATTGATTATGTCAGGGAGTTGGTAGTCAGGACAAGAAGAAACTGACTTAGGAGAGTAAGCTTACCCTAAGTCAAATGGGAGGCATCAGAGACCTGATTACTAGGGAGGTTGCAAAAGGAGAAACTAGTCATAATCTTAACTAAAACACTATTGTCCTTGGTCTTGTTTTTGATATGTAAAGATATTTAGGCAGCTTCATGCTTAGTCTTTTTAAAGTTACACATTTTCTTTAAACATTAAAGATTTTAGACATCTTAAAGTGTAGTTGTTATTTTAAGTCTGTAAGGTGTACTGTGGTGACATTTATTTTTTGATCCCCTCCCTATGAATGTAAATGTTATGGTTGCTAGGCTGGAAATGTTCTGGCTACTTTATATTATATTATGGAGTTAAAATAATCCTCTCATGACATTTCTGATTTGAGGCAATGTCACCATTCTCGCAGTCAATATATCTGTGAAAGGCCTATTCTGCTCTGGGACTAGGGTAATAATGGGAAAATAAATTTAAACCACAATGTTTCTATTTCTACCATTATTTGACTTAGGAATTCTGATCATACATACCTGAATCACAGAATGACTTTAAAATGTATTTTTATTAACATATGAGATATGTTATTATTTTTTATTATATTTTAAATAAATATTTGATAGAGGCAAATATAGTTTCTGACCACAATATCAGCAAAAAACTGACAGAAGCAGTAAAGAATAAAACTTTTAGCAAAGGAAATGTGAGTTCCCTAAAGGTAAAGATAATTGTATGATAAGTTCCAGTTTCATTGTTCAATACCTCAACCTTCTGCTCTTACTCTGGGATGAAAAATTATGTTTAGAAAAGCCTAAGGAATTATTGTAGGAAGTGATTTGCACATCATTATTTAATAACACAACTCTTTTGGAGACAGTTACTGCCCAATGTGGACATATTCCCAGTGAGATTTTTAAGATAAACAGGGATCTCTGAAATCAACGAGACAATGTGTAAATTTCATATAATTCAGGGAGAAGGGTTTATTTTAAATTGAATTAATATTTTTAATTCCTAAATATTCATTTATGATATTTTGTGTCAGATTTACTTAGCAGCTTTATTAATATGTAAAGAATAAACTGAACCACTTAAGGCAGCATATTTCATTTGAAGAAACAGAAAAAAAGTCTGTGTTGATGCTGACAATAGAAGATAATGTGTGGGCTTTAACCATGGTTAAGTTAGAAAATAAAGACTGGAGGAGGAGGGATGATTAAACTGAAGAGTCCGTGTATATAGATGCATCTACAAATACATATATGTCCATGTGCATTTAAAATGATAAGGGCAAGTACAAATTAAAAATAAGAGGCTTCTTCCTGTTGAAATAAGGAGATTACTTTCCTTTTTTCTTGGAACATTTACGTTAGAAAACTTGTAATTATAAGTATTTCTCTCTGAAATCTGTATATATCCTTTTGAAAACTAAATAGGCATTTTGTCAGTCTATTTTTCACGAATGTCTTTCTCAAGGCCTGAGAACCTTCCCTTTGAATGTAAACATCTCTACATTTAAAGATCTAAACATCTTTAGATCCTACAAATGAGTGAAATCATATGGTACTTGTCTTTCTCTGTTTGGCCTGTTTCACTAGCACAACGGTCTCCAGGTCTATCCATGCTATGGCCAAAGGTAAGATTTTCTTCTTTGTTGCATAGTATTACATTGTGTAAATGTCCCATAGCCTTTTAATCCTCTCAGTGTGTTTTGAGTGGGGTTTTTTCATTCATGTTTCAAGTTTGCTGTTTTTTAGTAACATGGGTAATTTTTTCATTGTGCTTATTAAGTTATAAGACTCCGGAGCTTATTCCAGTATTATTTTTTATCTGGCAGGGAAGGACAGGAGGACAGAGCTTGGGTTTCCCACTCTGACAGCTGTGAGGGTGAGGAGCTCCTCGCCACTGCTGTGCTGGGCAAGGGTGGGGATTCTGCATCTTTCCTAGGCCTCCGCAGGCATTGGCCTGCTTGGTAAGGACAGGAGTGCCTTGTTACTACTTCCCTTTTATGGTCCTTGCTGACACCATGGACACCTTGTTGCTGCTTGGTGGCAGTGAAAATTCTGCCTCTCCAGTAGGCCTCCCCTGAAACCAACTCAGCATGAAAGTGGAGGGAATCTCCTTACTGCTAGTGGCAGTAGAAATCCAAGTTCTCCACATGGTATCAACTGAACCAGGAGGAAGGAGGTTGTTACTGCCCAATGGGAATGAAAATTCCAACTTCCTATTAGGCCTTCTCTCACACTACCTCAGTGGGGATGTGGGTGACTTATAGTTAGGCAAAAGTCGAAGTCCATGGTCCCCAGCTGGCCTTTGCTGGCATTGGTTGAGTAGGGACATGTTTGGCAGGTGTAGTGAAGTTATATAGTCTAAATTTTTTGTCTTGCTAGGTTGTTCCTTTGCTGGACTTTTGGATAGAGAGAGAATGTTTTTATTGGGGCTTTTTTTTTTAGTGTGTGTCTATTGGTGCTTCTTTGGGTCT